CCCCCCCCCCCAATCCCCCTCCATTTACATTTGGCATGTAGACTGTGACCTTGTCAATGGATGTGGACCTTGTTACTGTATTTCATGTCATTGTCACCTGGAGATCAAAGCGTACAGTGCAATACTAAGGATCTGAAGCATAAAGAAGAATGTGATTATTGGCTTGCTTAGTGATGCTGCTTGTTGAGAGTAGAAGACATCTATTCTTTCCAAGCTGCACTAGTTTCCAGTTTATTCGTGAAAGCTATTTAGTGTATTCATGTAGACCTATATATATATATATATATATATATATATATATATATATATATAAAAAATGTTTAATAATAAATAATATACATACAGGAATCCCTCTGCCCATGACAGAAATACAGCTGCCTCTGGGGAGAAATGCAGAAGCTGCTTAACAATGCCCAGCAACAGTTCTGGAAATTCCTGGGGATTAGGTAGGCGAAATGTAGTTACTGAAGTATTTTTTGCTTCTGCAGAAAGTGCCATGAAAACTTTAATTGGTACAAGTGGCTAGGATCTTAGTTTTATAGCTTACTGAAAAGTAAATTACTTGCTTTTGACAAACAAAGTATTTGTAATTACAACAAAGCGGCTCCCAATAGTGTCATGTGGTGGTGGTGGTTCTTGTCTCTGCCTTAGGTATGTTTTACATGTGAAGTAGAAGCTTTGCTGATCTTATGCCTAGATATTATCCCTGGAGCATTATCTCATAAACCTCCCACCTCTTTGTTATGCATGATTAGTTGTTTAAATAATTGATTTCTGTAGATTTTGGTCTTCTACTGATAGGTGTGTGGACACGAGAAACTGTTCCTGTAAGGACTTGTTTTGGACCTTTGATTGGGCAGCAGAGCCATTCTTTAGAGGTGGCTGACTGGACAGACAAAGCAGCTAGTCACTTCTGGAAGGTCAGTGGATGTTACAGTTCACAGAGTTTGCAGGCGTGCCTTTAATGTGGTGAAAGCCACCACATGACACAGCAGCTTTAACATTACCATCCTTGCCAAAAATAAAAATGAATGCAGTTTGTTTAATACTTAATATCAGCATAGCAAACTGTATATCATGTAATATGCTGGTAATCAATCCTAAACAAGCTTCTTTAATGCCTTTTCTTTTAAAGGACTGTATGTGGTTTCCAGTATTTGTGTGGAGCTGCAGCAGAGATTGTATATGAATTACTAGGCAGCACTTGTTTGTCTTGTATCGTTTATTGAAAGTTCCCCCAGGTGGTAAATGATTTGTTTTAGGAAAGCTGCTTTAAAGCTTTCTTTTTCACATCATTTCATGTTCAGAAAGTAAAACTGATCTATATAACTAAAACACATACGGTTTGCCCAGATATTATTCACAAGACTTGGCTTGTAAGAAAAGCAGCCAAATGCATTTCTGCTGGGAGCTAAAGGTGGTGTGTGGGAAAGATGCCGATAAACAGTCTTCCTAGCCTCCTGGGTAGCAGAGAGGTCAGGATTCCTGTTTGAAGGGGAAAGTAAGGAGTAAGAATGGGGCTGTGGTCTTGGCAATGGCAATGGAGATCTCCTGGCTTGTTCTAGGTAAACACATCCTCTCTTCAAGAAAGAAGCTGGATTTCACTGTGTTGTGGCTGTGTTTTGTCCTAAGATTGCATTTGTTTTTCCTGGTAGTTCTATCACAATGGTGTCCTGGAGTTCTGCATCATTACAACTGATGAAAATGAATGTAACTGGATGATGTTTGTCCGCAAAGCCAGGTGAGAACCACCTGCACTCTGCTAAGTACCTTGGCGTCTGAGCTGCAGGCTTTGTAGGAGGCTGTGTTGGAGAATCTGTGCTGCTGCACTGACTGTGTTCAGTTGGGTAATGAGCTCAGCATCAAGGGACATTCAAGGAGTTACCTAGGCATCTTGGTCTGGTGGGGAGAATGAAATGGAGCACCCAGTGGAGAATGTTATGGGGGAACCAGTACACATGCTGTAGTAAAACAGCCCCAAACCTGCCCCCGTGTACTTTGTTTCCCATGTTCTAAAGCTTTAAACCAGGCTCTCTTTATATTAGCTTACTGTGTATTAGCTTATTATTGCCTTCCCTCTATCCCATTCCTTTTGGATATATCAGTAAAGATGATGTTGATTGCCTTTTTGGTTTTAATACTTCATTACAGAAGTGTCCCGGGGTTCTTTTGGCCATGTTTCAAGCTCTTACAGCTTGCAAGAGTTGTCCTTTTCAGTTTTTCTGGAGCCTGTGATGAAAACTGTCCAGACTGGCTTCAGTATTGCTCCATACATGGTCCCTTGAGAAGGCTGAACCTTTCCTATTGTTCTGTGATGCGAAGTAGTTTTCCCCTGCAATTCATTTCATTGCTCCTATATGCAGGATTCAAGAAGTTAATGTTTGATCTCCTACTGCAGTGGGGGACAGCTTTTGCTGGTTTCAGATACTGGGAATAAACATATGCAAGATATGGCTTCAGAAGATGAATTAACACATCTTGGAAATGCGTTGCAAGAGTTATTTTTGAAGATAATTTTGCTTTTACTGGTATTTATTTCTCCCTCATGTTCTCTATTTCTTAAGTGGGTTAATATGAAAAAAAAATAATTTTGTAGTTTCTTAAGGATCATAAACTCTATTCTCAACCCACTCAAATGTCTATTAATAATTTTCTCAGCAAGATACCACAGTGGTTTGAAAACTCTATCATTTGGTGGAGCAGATTGGCTCACAAGGTCCTGTTTTCCTTTCCTTTAATAAAAAAGGACAGAAGTGGCAGACGTGAAAGTTTTGATAATGTGGTGACAAGCACTGAGATTCTTTATAGGAATTTCCTTATTTTTTTTCTCTTTCTTAAAAAGTAATTATTTCTGGAGGGTTTTTTTTTCATAACTCTCATTACTATAGGAACCGGGAAGAGCAGAATCTGGTAGCTTATCCTCACGATGGAAAAATTTACTTCTGCACCTCCCGGGATATCCCGCCTGAACACGAGCTTCTCTTTTATTACAGTCGGGACTATGCACGACAGCTTGGTAAGTAAGCGCTCATCTTTGTTGGCTTTGCAAGGAGTACTCGGTTTGAATTCCCTTTTAGTGCCATCTCTGGGCACTGTAACTTGGGAGTGCATTATGTTCCTTCTCAGTTCCTAGTGGTGCATGTCATAATTCCCTTTCATGGCTACAGGAGTACCATTGTTTGAAAAAAAAACATTTCACTGTCTAATTCCACTGATCAGGAGTAAATGATTGCAGTTTTAGAGAAAAAAGGTTGGTTTTGTTCTGTTCATCCATCTGGTGCTAAGGGAATTTTGCTAGCTGAAGATGTTCCTATTCTCCTCCACTTTTAGTTGTGGTAATTTAGGTTTGGTGGAGCTGTGCTCAAAATCATTCCAATGTTTGGTCCCCCAAAATATTTGAAATGGCCCACCTAAAAGAACTGAAGAGTAGCCACCGGAGCTGAAAGGAACAGGGGTGAAAATCTCTGCAGCTGGCTTTGCTACCACAGAAAAAGTGTTAATATGGATCACGCTCACGCTGTTAGGCCTTGCTGTGCCTCATTAAAAGTGATGCTTTTGTGCCCGAAGGTGTTCCTGAACATCCAGACGTGCATATCTGCCACTGTGGAAAGGAATGTGCTTCCTATGCAGACTTCAAGGCCCACTTGAGCAGCCATATTCATAGTCACCTCCCCAGTCAGGGGCACAGCAGCAGCCATGGGCCAGGCCACAGCAAGGAAAGGAAGTGGAAGTGCTCCATGTGCCCCCAGGCTTTCATCTCCCCTTCCAAGCTCCACGTCCACTTCATGGGGCACATGGGTATGAAGCCACACAAGTGCGATTTCTGCAGCAAAGCTTTCAGTGATCCTAGCAACTTACGGACACACCTCAAGATACACACAGGTAAGGGTTGGGGACTCTGTAGAGATGCCTGTGTTAGTAAAACATAGGGAGAGGACTTGTTCTCTCTAATCCCTTGGCCAGTTGGCAGGGCATAGCTTGTGTCCATAAATCTAAGTTCTTAGAAACACAGAATCATAGAACGTTTTGGGTTGGACCTTTAAAAATCATCTAGTCCAGCCCCCCCTACCATGGACAGGGACATCTTTCAGTAGATTAGCTCACTCAAAGCCCTGTCCAATGTGGCCTTGAACACTTCCAGTGGTGGAGCATCCACATCTCTGGGCAACCTCTTCCAGTGCCTCACCATCCTCATGATAAAAAAAATTTCTTCTTTATATCCAATCTAAATCTATCCTCTTTCAGTTTAAAACTGCTGCCCCTTGTCTTGTCACTACCGGCCTTGGTAAAAAGTTTCTCTCCATCTTTCTTATAAACTCCCTCTAAGTACTGGAAGGTCGCAATAAGATCTGCCTGGAGCCTTCTCTTCTCCAGGCTGAACAACCCCAACTCTTTCAGCCTTTCTTCACAGGAGAGGTACTCCAGCCCTCTGATCATTTTTGTGGCCCTCTGAACCAGCTCGAACAGGTCCATTCTTTCTTGTACTGGGAACCCTAACACTGGCTGCACTACTCTCAAGAGCCGAGTAGAGGCTGAGAATCATCTCCCTCGACCTACCTTTCTAAGAATGTGTAGCATCCTGACTGTCTGTAGGAATGATCTCTAGTCCGTGATGACCGCAGCTAATGCCTGGGCACTGCGTGAGAGAGTGATGGGTGGCATGGGATAGGACTGCACTGGGTTCAGTCTTCTAGAACAGTATGTAGACCTGTGTTCTGGCTGATAGTGCTATGTCTAAGCATTTGATGAGTCGAAGTTGATTACAGTTGGGAAGAAGTCTTGGCCTTCATCTGGGAGACAGAAAACCTTTTTACTCCACACAGCAGACCCAGTGCTGGCAGCTATGATAAAACAAGGGTTCCCTTCTGTTCATGAGAAAAAGCCAGTTGGGTTTGAGAGCTTGTAATGTGGACAGTTGTGCACTCAATTAAATATGAGGCTGAGATCTTTCTCCTCTTCTCCACTTGAATTGTTTTTCATCTTAAGAAAATGGCCCAAGACTGAAATTGGTGATTGTGGGGTTAGACTCGTGGATAAGGCTCAGCTTTGTCACTCATCAAAACTTAAGCCTGCACATGCTGTTGACTTCTGTGGGCATTTGGATATGACTGGAGGCTTTGGCGATAAAGGGAGAATTGCCAACGGAGCAGTGAATGAATGCTAGAAGGGGAAAAAAAAGTAGTGAAAGAATTTTCAGCTGTGTGAGAAGAGAGGAAGTATGAAAAGGCATGGATTTAACACAGAATGAGGACAGGGGAGAGACTGAGGGCCAAATACAGGCCAACAATAGACAGTGTGGATATTTTTGCCACTATTTTTTTCAGTAAGGTTGAAATCATGGAATGCAAATCATAAAGCTGGAAAGGGAATAAAACTGGGAGTTCAGTGCACTGGAGTCAAGCATAGGAAGCTGTGGGCTCAGTAGTGAGGAGTTTTAATAAACTGATCAAGCGTGGTATATACAACCACAGAACACTCAGTGGGATAGCGATGCAGGTGCTATTCAAACTTAGTCTGAATTCACATAGCACGCAGGGGTTTTGAACTATTTCTGGCAAAGAATAATGAAAGAACTACAGATAAATGGAAAAATGAGATAAAACACAGAAGTTAGCAAAGAGCCAGTAAGCTTTGTACCTGTGTGTTTGAGAACTTGTTTTTCTAGGCAAAGGCAATGCAGTGCATTAAATGTGGTTGGGCTCCAGTAAGGCATCAGATACAGTTCCTGTGGGAAATCAGTGGAGATGGGGATGTACCGATGTACAGTAATGAGATGACTACCATGGTTAATATTATAAAGGAGTCTACCATTATTGTCACTCAAGAATTCATATTTAATAAGCCTAGTGTTGTTGAATGTTTGCCTGAATCTCTTTGCTGGAAGATTTACAAGCATACTGGTGATGTTTTGATATGCAGAACAGGAAGGCACAGCTGATCTAAAGAAGCAGAAAGTCTTGTCTTATACAAAAGGCTGACTGATCACAAGCACTGGAGGAAGGGGAATCTGGGGTGTTTAGAAGGATGAAGTGCAGAACGACACATCCCATGAAGGGCTCAGTGGTTCAAATCAGTAGCATTGAAGTGTTTTTTTTTGGCTTGGGGGCATGGCATGGGGGCTGAAAAGTTTTGGGAACGATGAAATAAAGTCAGATGCCTTTTTTTTTTTTTTTTTCCACAGCTGAATCTAGACTGTAACTAGGTAGGCCTTTATGCTGAGTCTGAAAGAGCTGCAGGAGTAAACAAGTCCTGTTAACAAAGAATCTGCCTTTCTCCAGGGTAAAATTTTATTCTTAAGAAGTGGTCAGGCTTGTTTGCTTACTGTATTTCTTGGGACACTGACTGACAATTTGTGGGTGTATGTATGTAATCACAGGTCAGAAGAATTATCGCTGTACCCTCTGTGACAAGTCATTTACCCAGAAGGCTCACCTGGAATCGCACATGGTCATCCACACAGGGGAGAAGAATCTGAAGTGTGATTACTGTGAAAAGCTATTCATGCGGAGGCAGGATCTCAAGCAGCATGTACTCACTCACACACAGTAAGTGATCTCACAGGATGTGTTGGACTGGCCAGTGCAATAAAAATGAATCTCCAGTTTGCAAATAGTTTGGCCTAGGGAATGTAGGTTCATTCTCTAAGATGACAGAGAAGTCAATCTGGATAAATTCCTTTTTCCCAGTTGGAGTTGTCCTACTCTAGTGTTTGCAGTATTTTAATGACACAGTAAATTCCAGGCATGCCCCTTGTCTTGTGAAATGGCATTCTGGAGTGTTCACCATTTTGAAGTGAGAGGGGGGTTAACTGATTTACATTTAGTTTTCTGCTGAGAACTGTTTCCTAGCATGACCATGAAAAATAACCTCCTCAATGCTATTCTCACCAAGTAGCTTGTTAGTGAAGTCTCTTTCTATTTGCACCGGTGGGGTACAGTGGTGCAGCCATTCCCAGCTCTTAACCTCTCCCCCAGGTCTCATTCATGCACTTGGGTCTCCTGGTCTTCCTGCAGGGAGATGCCCATGGCCAGTGACGACCCCCAGGTCCTTCTCCAGTTTTCTACAGGTCTCTCCCAGCCCCTCAGCTCTCTGCCAGGCCAGATCATTCCTTTTGCTGTGAGAATCTCTTTGTCCTGTTTAGCTACTCCAAATACAAGGTCCTCCCTTAAAGGCATATTACCTAGAGCTAGTCCCTCTGCTTATTTTATTGTCAGCATCTGGTTCTTGTACTCACTTGTAGTTGATTGCTGCTTCTGTCATTCTGCTTAGGAGACAGCATAGTGCAGCTAGCGTAAGCAATAGACAGACAGACTCGCTTTGCTGCTTGTTCTTAGGGCCATAGCCAAAAGCGCCACTGCTGACGTGTTTTGCACAGTTGTCTACACTGTTTGACTGTTGCAGCCTGGTAAGCCTCTTCTTAGTATTTACAGGCTCACGGCTGTTAGCACTCAGCAGTTTTGTTTTCTGTTTTGTTCTTTCCTCCCCTCCCCCCCACCAATTCATGCAGGGTGGGAAGGAAGGAGACTAACCCCTTCTACCCTGGCAACATCTCTGCCCTTGCCAAAACATGGAGTTTAACCAGAGTTTGGTCTTAAAAATAAACAAAACTGCTGTAGACTTATTTATTATCAGAAAAGAAAAACAGTTCGTTACAAGCTAGCAGTTAGTCCAAAAAGCCTGACTTTTGCCAATGATGTTGGGGCCGTGGGTGTGAGGAACAGAGGAGAGGGGCTTTGTGTACATACTGTGTGAGAGAAAACTGAACAGTATTTATACTTCAGTGCTGCCACAGTGCTGCTATTTCTGGTCTGCTTCTCCTTCAAGCATACTGAAAGTAATATTTAGGAGTAAGACTAACTCTTTCTTTCACCTTTCCTGTCACCATCACCCCACTATTTAATGCAGTATCAGCTGCCTGTAACTTCTTCATGTCTTGCAGAGAACGGCAGATCAAGTGCCCCAAGTGTGACAAGCTGTTTCTGAGGACAAATCACCTGAAGAAGCATCTCAATTCCCACGAAGGAAAGAGGGACTATATCTGTGAAAAATGCTCCAAGGCTTATCTAACCAAATATCACCTCACTCGCCACTTAAAAATATGTAAAGGCCCCACATCCAGCCTGTCTGTTCCAGAGGAGGAAGAGGAGGAAGATTCAGAGGAGGAATTACTAGACTCTATGAGGACTGAAGACTGTAGGATGAACAATGGAGTCTATTCAATAGGTGATGCCCTCTCCGGAAACAAATAAAACGAGAGAGGGAAGTTTTCTTGGATGGTAAAACTGAGGAAGGAAAGAAATCCTCTCCCTTGTTCCCCCAGTCAACAGCATATGTCAGATGAGGAGCTTTCCTTCGGTTTTGGTCTCTGCACTACCACTGCTTAATAAACTCTGTAGCCAAAACACTGAATGAGAATGGATCGTGCACATACAAGTGACTACTGCTAAGAAGGAAATGAGGCGAGGAGATGTTTTCTACACACACTGTGCATACTTCTTTTCCATTCAGTGCCAGGATGAGAGACACATTGCATAGCCCTTTGAGTCAAGAGCCACAAACCAGAAATGAGGTCAACTAATTGGAGTGACATTGTGAGCCAACTCTCCTTAACTGCCAAAGCTGTGACAGTAAGTAAAACAAAAAAATGGTGGTGGCAATTGATGTGGGGTTTTTTTTGGTAATACTTTAACTGAAGGATGTAGTTTGGCAGAGAGCTAAGACTGTCAATGCTCAGGTTTCCTTCTAAAAATAAATAAATAAAAAATTTGTGGGGTTTTTGTTTGTTTGTTTTAAAAAAAGCCAGCAAAATCAGCATTTGCAGACAAAGCAATTGCCCCACTACAGAAAATCAAATACTGCTTCTTAGTCTAGTTCACTAGAACATGTAAGCAAGTGAAGAGGTAAAGACTTAGTAGGGAAGAGGCTTACAGATGATCAGAGTGTTTACAGTATATATTACTTTTTGTGCTGTAAACCTTTTACCACCTAGATTGATGGGAGGGTTTGCTGCTAATACTATTTATGGAATGAAGATGTATTTCATTTGGTTGTTTTAACAAAAATTAAAGATGTGGCTCTTTTCTAATGTTCTTTTTCAATGTTCATACATTCTCAGAAAATTATTTCCTATTTCTGATAAAGGTGTTAAGAGAAATAACACCACTTTTTCATCATCTGCCTCTGCCAAGCTTTCCTGGTCAGGGTAGGAGCACCTTCCATGAACAGGCACAGCTAAGAACTGGTGTTTAAACCTTGTAGATTTGCTGTGTGGCACCTCTGGCTGTGCTGTAAAAAGAGTCAGCTGAGCTCTGCTCTCCAACAAGTTAATTGGAGGTTCCCTTGTGAAAGAGCTCCAGTTCTTTCCCCAAGTGGCTCAAGTTCAGCTGTATCTCTCCCTGTACACTGCACTTCTATAGAGCACACTGGGTTCTTCAAACCTGAATATGCGTAATGCTTGCCCTCTGAAATCAGTATGTGAATAAAAAGCTCCAGAAAGACAGGTTGAGGGATTTTGTTTAGTCAAGGGGAATATGGGTTGCCTGCAGTTTTCTTCCTACCTAAAACAAAAAGCAACTTCTAGAGCTACAGTGCCAATTAATAACAGAGGTAGAGATAACAGAAATTACTGCTGTCAAAGGGCTTAACAGAAAGCATTTATTTCAAAGGAAACTTTGAAAAATTTGCAGCTTTTCAGTGGAGAGCACTTGAACATAATGTGGTTCTGGTGCTTTCACCTTCTTCAGCCTCACAAAAGCAGCTCTTCACTTGTCCACATGTTCACTATTGCTTGGCAGGGAAAGGATTGAGGCAGGAATCGCAACATATGGAAAGTATGCTTGGTTCCTGCAGTGCCATGCTAAACACCTGTCACCAGACTAGAAACAGCTGAATTCAATTTAGAAGCAGCCACATAACTTCAAGGGATGGGAAGGAAACCTACAGCCCTGCCTTTTCCCCATCTGCAGTTTTGTATTGATACAATTTATCTGCTTCACTTCAGCAGAATGCCTTACAATGAACTAGGGTGGAAAGCTTGTGTAAGATCTTGTCAACTGCATGCACTGACACCATGCCTTCTTTGATACCAGTTGCTTTAATACCCAGGGTGTTTCTGCATGAGCAGCACTTTAGCAGACACCTTCCAGTGTGTGGAGGAGGAAGAACTTCACAGGAGGTTAACTTCTGTCCTGGAGTAAGGCACTTGTGTATTCATTTTATATGTGAGGAAACATTATTTGATTAGGTTTCTGATGCTATAAACAAAGCATTTAAGTCATCAGTTAGGCTCATACTCTTAATGTTCCTCTGTGCCTTCAGGTTTCAGGCAGAAAGGTCTGGGAGGAGTTAAGAACACAAGCACATAACACACACAGTTTTCACCAATGACAAGTACCAGCCAAGATCCCTTGCTTTGTGTCCTGAGAGCCTCTCAACTCTTCTGAGTAGTAGCTCCTTATTTCAGTTCAAATTCTCTTGGAGCTTGGAAAAGAAAAAAAACCCAATACACATGTAACATCAATAAGCTTCAGATGCTGTGGAACCAGGGAAAAGAAACCCTTGATCAGGATGTGATACAGCTGGGATATTTCTGGTTTGAAATTAGTTACTTATCTTGAGCTGTTAGAAAATACATTTCAAGATTCAACCCAGGGACTCCAACATTGCCCAAGAAATACTCTTAAGACTTAAAAGTTAGAGAGAACTTATGAAATCTGTGTTTAGAAATCTGTAAATCTAGCCTCAAGGATAAATCAGGTATTTACACTTGTCATTTAATTCAGCTTTGGTTTATTTATTACACAGCTGCTGTCAGAAGTATTTTTCCTTGTGCCCTTAGACAATATTTACCTTCTTTGCAGTATTCAACAAGCTTCTGATAGCAGTAGAATGTTTTTCTCTTGACTGTTTCATTTTATGTATCAACTTTACACATGGTAGCCCATGTTTCAGGGATCATATCTCAGGCAGAAGCAAGTGATTTAATCTTTCAAAGCTGCTAATAGAGGCAGGAACTCAGAACCTCTGACTTAGAGCTTAACCACATCACCATGGTCCTTTGAGACAAAGAAGCCAGCAGACTGCAAGACATTTAAGTAATTTCTATGAATTCTCACCGAATAGGGGGATTTGCAGAACATATATTAGTCATAGTCCCATTAATTCCTTTGATTTTTTGATGTTTGGTCCATCACGATTCCATTGCTGTCTCCAAACTGTTGCTGCTGCTGCTGGCTGTGGAGCTGCAAGCCACAGAGTTGGCACTAGCCAGAACAAGTCTCTCTCTCTTTCCAAAAACTTCATTCACTGCAACACAGATAGGGGATTGCTTACACATCACTCTACCAGAGACAAGGGAGGTACAGCCAGTATAGCAAGGCGAGCACCATGGAATGGAAATCCTAACCTGGTGCAGGTTTCAAAGCTTTCCCCCTTATCCCATGTAGGGAGTTGAAGCTTACACATCTGAACAGTCTCCCACATGTGATACTTAAATTACAAGTCCTGTTACTTCTCCCCCAGATCACCTCTAGATGTTTCCCTGCGCGTAATGCCTGTTCCTAAGTACTATGAAATGGATGCGTTTCGTAGAGCAAAACATTAAGTTTAAATAATTTATTTCTGAGCTTAGTCTCTCTGGTTTCCACCAAGTTCTGAAAAGCCTTCTCTAAAAACTCATGCTATTTAGTTACATGTAGTTATAACAACCAATCAAAACCAGTCCTCACATTTATTCCTTAAGTACTCAAGAATGTGATACTTGATTACACCAGGAACATTAAAACATGGGTATTATAAGAAATCAGGTATTATACTTCAGCTACAAGGAAATAAATTTTACGACAAACACAGTTCTCAAAGTTAGACGAAAAACACACCTTTTTTTTAAGCTGAAAACACAAACACATATGCAGTTTTGGGGTATTTAAAATATTAACCTAGAGTTTTTCTCAGAGCCAAAATACATTACTGAATACAAAACCAGACCCCGGGGGCAATGGGAGAACTACAAGATTCAAAGAAATGAGAGTATTACCTGCAGAAATCTTGCTTATATCCCAAACACGCAGCCCTTCTCGCTCTCCTCCAAAGGCAAAAACAAATGGGAAGTCAGGGCAGCAAGCTGCACAGAAGAGAACACCCTGGGAAGGTGGGTGAAAGAGAAGGTTTTTTTAAAAATACCATCCTAAAATGAATTTGTCATATGAAAATACTTTCACCAAGCAAGTTTTAACAAATGTAAGCTAAGTTTTCTGAAATTTATTTTGTAAAAACACAGAATTAAAGTCAAGAGCTGTTAATTCCAAACAGTAAATTACATCTTTGTCTTGAACCTGGCAGATACACATTAGAGCACCTATAGTTCTACTCAGAATGTTCTATCTGGTATTCAGCAATCCGTCAATTACATGTTGAACTGAATACTGCACTGTAAGGGGAATGATTTACCCAGAATACACAAACTGATTTTTATTTTATTAAAAGATGTTATGTTAGGTAAAACAAGATTTAAGCTAGACAAAAAAGCAGACATCATTCATATATAAACCTTCTTGGAATCAAGAAATTAATATTACCCTACCATTTTCATATCCCTGGAATGGATTAAACTTGGTTTGTCTCCCAGGATATCCCAAATTTTCACATATTTGTCAGCAGATGATGTCACAAGGCACCCTTTGATCTGACTGCTTAGTTGTAGCCCTGGAGGATTAAAAGTGCAGCAGTGTAAGAGCACAAGGTAATCACTACTTCATAGAGAGAAGGATACATTTTGAAGCAAAGTCAGGAGAACAAACCCAATTTGCATTAAACACTGTTCTAGCACAAAGGAGCAAAACATTAACAAAAGTTTCATGCTGCTGCTGCTCCCCATAGCAAGAGCAAGCTGACTTCACGTAGGTTATTTTGTTCCTCAATGCAACAACAGTAACAGTGCAAAAATGGTATTGTTCTGCTTCTTACTTCACATAATCTGGCTTCCCCAGCTAGTTTTCTTCATTCATTTGCCAAAGATCATCTCTTTTGCTACCTGAGATGATGGGGTATATTGATATGATCTCGTTTTAGACACCTAATCATGTGCTTCAAGTTGCTTTTTAGAAGCTCCTACACTGATCAAATAATTGAAGGAGCCTAAAGGAGGCAATGTGGAAACCTTCCCATGTGCCATACCTAATTAATCTCTAGACTGAATGTCAGTATAGAATAATTACGGATAGAGGAGGTAAACATCACAGTTCATAATCCTGGACCAGATTCCATAGTTTTATTCTTCCTCACCCCCCAAAAAACACAGGGACAGTGTTCCAAGTGAATGAATCTGTCCTGACATGCTTATTCATGACATCCACTGACAAAAGTTCAGTGTTGTTAAAATACTTTGCTTACAATGGCTTCTCAGCAGATTTATTTCACACGTTAACTACTCGCAATTAATATGCAGAACTCTTTATTTGTTAAGCAGGAAATTACTACCACCTCAGTTGTATCAGTTAAAGACACCTTCCAATTATGCCTTGCCATGGGGGACAAACACAACCCACACACAATTTACCTGACACCTCTTCATCATGAGCTTTCAGGGTAAACACTGGCTTATCAGAACGAGCATCCAGACAGTACACAAAGCCATCTTCTGTGCTTGCCTAAGGAAACCACAAGATTTTAAAAACCAACAGCTGTAGTCACTCATTTGGAAAAAAGCTCCTATGAAATAATACCCACTCTCTAGTAAATATCCGGGATTTGAGACAGGCTTACACTACTTCTTGGTAGGGTTTGTTACACAGTGTACACAGGAATGCATCCCCACAGTCAGACTCCATCCAGCTAGTGCCTGAGCTATTCTATGTACCTAAACTACGCTGCACTGACTTACACCAAAGTCTTAATCTTATACAAATTTCTAAAATTGTATTTTGAAGATGGTTGTACTACTAAGCTTTGCTCTCATATTAGGCAATGAAATACAGAGCTTTTGGTCTTTTAACTGTAAATTCAAAGTTTCTGGAGCCATCCAGTGGCTACATAACAGCCCTGTACAAACAAGTGTGATTATACCCAAACAGACCTACAATGTAAACACAACAGAAACAAGCAACTGATCGTCAGCTGTATACACAAGGCAACAGAGAACTAGATAGCCATCGAGATAATAAAAAAGATTTGGTTTTAAATTATGTTTAGAAGGTTTTTTTATAAAAATCTCGACAAAACCAAGGTATTTTTACTGTATTCCAGCTAGGAGGACAGTGCCCTCTAGCGCTGATTTGAAACACGGAATTAATATTAGACTTCGAGTTCTAATTAGCTAATTCTCAGCTGCAATTGCTTCATTACATGAAACACAACAGCAGCTATGCAAAGGAAAATATATCCCTGCCACTGAACACTATAACAACATGGAGAAAATGCCACATCTGGAGTGAAAAAGCATGAGCATTAATTGCTTTTCTACTGTCATAATGGAGATACCAAATAAGTAACTGGTCTTGATATGCTTGTTGAAAAAAGTATCTTAAACCATCTTGCACACATTGCATTTTTAAAATAAGCAATGCCAACAGCCCAACTGCCCATCAGCTCCATTATATGATTCAGAAACGTTATGAACACAAAAATACAGGCTAAATGAAATGGCAACAGTCAACAGACCAAGAATAGAAGTGCATATACTCACTAAGAAATTACAAGGTGAAAAATGATTCCAAGTTACTCTTTCAACCTGACCACTAAACCGCCACATTCGATGGTTATATTGTGGGTTTCTGCAATCATACAGCACAGCTGATCTATGGGAAAAAGGAAAAATGAAAAATTAGAAAAAAAAAAATGATCAGGGCATGACACTTCATTAAGTTTGTTCTACCACTGGCATCTACAGAACTGTCCATATAAACTACAGTTAAAAAATTAAAATGGAAACAACTTCATTATTTAGTCTTGCAATTCAATAACAGATGAAAATTTCTCACATAAGCAAAAGCTTTTGCCATATGCTTCAAAGTTTCATCTTGGTTACAAACAGCTGTTCTATTGAAACTAAGCAAACGGAGCTTTAATTTACTCAATACATAATATACTTAATATATAGGACACCATAATTATGCAAATATATCACTTAATTATTAACAGACTTCAGTAAAGTTAAGTAATGACTGTTCAAAAATAATGCACTTATTAGGAAATCAATTTGTAATACACATACATTTTCAAATACGCTTTAATAAAAAGGAAAAAAAAAATTAATCTTTACAAGTGGTTAGGGAAATGCTACTCCAAAAAGGAGAAAGAGCAAATGGGAGTTAGTGGTTCCTCTGGGATTCTTTACAAACATGTGCTCAGCCTTGTGGTGGTAGAATTTGTCCCAACCCAAAAATCTCCTGGATGCAAAGGCAAGAGAGGAGTGATGATGTCACTCTTGTGACACATCACCACAATCGGCATCCACAGTGCAGCCCACTCCCACTCTATCCTATAATTAAAGCAAAAAAATGTGATCTAGATTTCTCAGCTCTTTTACAAGGCATTTTACAACAGTTTTAGTACATATGCAATTTTTAATGGTCTGACTTTCAGGTTATGAAGGTATCTGACAATACTGATTGAACAGCCTGTGGTCCTGTGAGGCTTTACAGGAAAAATCCACAAAGGCAGTCTACTAGTTTATAGATAGCACACTGGTTTACAGGTGACCATGGTATCAAAGGACTAGCTAAAAAGGGATCAAGCAGCTTGTCTCAGCATTTGAACATTATTATTCTTTTTATGAAAGGAAGTCAAAGGGGATAAAAGTAGACAAAAGCAGCATTAAAACATAACAACATTAAAAGGTTTTTCTCTAATACTTTCACTTAAGTGGATGTAGCGAGAGCATAATAGAAGCCAGAGAACATAAAGGCTCGGCTAAAGACAGACAAGTCTATAAATATTTTAACACAAGGACAAAGTCTTAAAAGAAGAATTAAAAAAAAAAACCAAAACAAAACAAAAACAGTGTAAGAAAATCATGGTTATAGAACAAAATTTAAGTTACCCCTATGTGATGGGAGAACAAAGGGGAAGTTTTCTGGCTGGCAGCGCTTACAAGAACTGACAGTTACAGAGCTAGTCCAAGTGTGCAGACATAAATCATGTCACAGCATCACCAGTCTGCAATCACAGAAGACAGCCTGTTAAACTTGGCTGTGGCATGCCTATCAATGGAGACTGTAGGAAGCGAATTGGGATTTTAAAGTTCCTCCTGCCCCCACCCTGGTCTTACAGTTCAGCAAAAGCCGGACAATTTTTCACAGGAAGAACCAGTGACATTCCTGTGGTGGTTTAGGCCTTGCCGGGACCAGAGACCACACCGCCGTTGTCCCTCCCCCACCCTCAGACCAGCTGGGGCAGGGAGTAAAATATAAACCCCAGGGTTGAAATAAGGAAAGAATTAATACAACAGTGTAACAAATAATAAACTGAACAAAACCAGTAGCAATAACCATAATAAACAGTAATAACAGTAAACAAGGCAAAAGATATACAGAGATATACCACAAGGGACACAGCCAGCCCGCCGCACGTGCTTCACCGGACAAAAGCCACACAGGAAACTATTCCTGGGCTTGGCACATGGACCTGACGTCAGCATGGTATAAATAACCCAGCTGGAGATCCCTTCCCCCTCTCTGCTGAGGAAATTTAACCCTATCCCAGTTGAACCAGGACATAACCCACCCCTTTATTCTATACCATCTGCGTCATGTCCAGCTGCCATTTAGCAGTTGACAATAACAAATCAACAATTAACTAAGGCAGAGCATAATTCATGTTATGTTCTTACTCAGAATAAAGTCCCCCTATGATACGCATCAGACATCTCCATCGTCCTGCATCACCCACCAGATACACCCAGGTCCTTGAGCAAAAGCAATCCTGTGAATGGGTTTGCCTTTGCCTGGCACAGGACTAACACAGACCATCTTTCCCAATATATTCCTCACACGTACCAGAGAGGGACTTTATCTACAGCATGTGGAGGTTTAGACTGAGCCAGGACAGCTTTGTTTGCAGATCCTCTTGTGTTTACTAACCAGGTGGCCTTTGCTAGATGCGTGTCCCAGTTTTTGAAGGTCCTACCTCCCAGTGCTTTCAATGTGGGTTTTAACAGTCCACTGTAGCGCTCAATCTTCCCAGAGGCTGGTGCATGGTAGGGGATATAGTAGATCCACTCAATGCTGTGTTCTTCTGCCCAGGCATCTATGCGGTTGTTTCAGAAGTGGGTCCCGTTGTCTGACTCGATTCCCTCTGAGGTGCCAAGTCACCACAGGACTTGGGTTTCAAGGCCCAGGATGGTGATCTGGGCGGTGGCGTGGGTTGCTGGGTAAGTTTCCAGCCATCCAGTGGTTACTTCCACCATTGTGAGCACGTGGCGCTTCCTGTGGCAGGTCTGAAGCAGTGTGATGTAGTTGATCTGCCAAGCCTCTCCATATCTATGTTTCAGCCATCGCTCTCCATTTTGCTGGGGCTTTACCCGCTTGGCTTGTTTGATTGCAGCACACATCTTGCATTTGTGGATGATCTCTGCAATGGTGTCAATGGTGAGGTCTACCCCTCAATCTTGAGCCCACCTGTATGTTGCATCTCTATACTGGTGGCCCGAGGTCTCATGGGCCCACCGGGCTATGAACAATTCACCTTTTCGCTGCCAGTCCAAGTCCACCTGAGCCACTCTAATCTTAGCAGCTTGGTCTGCCTGCTGGTTGTGTCGATGTTCATCAGTGGCCTGACTCTTGGGTACATGGGCATCCACATGGCACACCTTCACAACGAGGTTCTCCACACGGGCTGCAATGTCCTGCCATACTTCAGCAGCCCAGACAGTTTTACCCTTACGTTGCCAGTTCCTCTGTTTCCCTTGCAACAACCGTTTCCACAGGGCATACACCACCACCCACAAGTTGGTGTAGTGATAGAGCCTCGGCCAGTTTTCCCACTCAGCAATATTCAAATCAAGCTGGACCCATCAGTGAACAGGGCATATCGCTTCTCCTCATCTGCCAGCTTGTTATATGGTGCAGCCTCTTTAGCATGTGTCACCTTCTACTATGCTTACATCCTGGAATCTTTGCTCTCCAGCCAGTTCGTGATCACCTCCAGTATTTCTGGGCAGCTGGGGGTCCCTGTTCAAGCCCGTTGTGTTATCAATGCAACCCATTTACTCCACGTGGCATCTGTTGGATCATGTGTGGAGAAAGCTTTTCCTTTGAACATCCACCCCAGCACTGGCAGTCGGGGTGCCAGGAGGAGCTGTGTTTCAGTGCCGACCACTTCTGAGGAACCCGAAATCCTTTGTACGCTGCCAGTATCTCCTTCTCAGTTGGTGTGTAATTAGCTTCAGAGCCTTTGTATCCCTGGCTCCAGAAGCCTATAGGTTGGACTCGGGTTTCCTCAGGTGCTCTCTGCCAGAGGCTCCAGGTAGGGCCATTCTCCCTGGCTGCGGTGTAGAGCATGTTCTTAACCTCCTGCCCACCCCGGACTGGCACGAGGGCTACTGCCTGGGCAATCTCCAGCTTAATTTGTTCAAAGGATTGTTGTTACTGAGGGCCCCATTCAAAATCGTTCTTCTTACGGATTATGTGGTAGAGAGGTCTCACAATCAGGCTGTAGTTTGGGAAGTGCATCCTCCAGAACCCCACAGTGCCCAGGAAAGACTGAGTCTCCTTTTTAGAGGTTGGTGGGGCCATGGCTGTGATCTTGTTTATCACCTCCATTGGGTTGTGGCGACGCCCATCTTGCCATTTTACTCCTAGGAACTGAATTTCACTTGCAGGCCCTTTAACTTTGTTTTGCTTAATGGCAAAGCTGGCCTTCAGGAGGATTTCAATTATCTTCTTCCCTTTCTCAAAGACTTCCTCAGCTGTGTCCCCCCATACAATGATGTCATCAATATACTGCAGGTGTTCTGGAGCCCCACCTTTCTTCAGTGCAGTATGGACCAGTCCATGGCAAATGGAGGAGCTGTGGTTCCACCCCTGGGGCAATCCATTCCAGGTGTACTGGATGCCTCTCCAAGTGAGCACAAACTGTAGTCTGCACTCTTGCACTATCGAAATGGAAAAGAATGTGTTAGGAATGTCAGTTGTTGCGCACCACTTGGCTGCCTTTGACTCCAGTTCATACTGGAGCTCTAGCATGACCGATACTGCCGCACTCATTGCTGGCATAACTTCATTCAGGCCACAGTAGTCCACAGTTAGCCTCCATTCACCATTAGGCTTTCTCACTGGCTATATAGGGCTGTTGAAGGGTGAATGAGTTTTGCTGATCTCCTTCTGGCTTTCTAGTCGATGGATCAGTTGATGCATGGGTACCAGGGAATCTCGGTTGGTGCGGTACTGCCACCAGTGCACCATCTTTGTAGCAATCGGCACTCGTTGCTCCTCAACCTTAAGACGCCTCACCACTGAGGGATACTCTAAGAGGCCGGGTAAGGTGGACAACTATTCAACCTCCTCCAGGGGAGCTCCACCAAAAGCCCACCGGTACCCTCTTGGGTCTCTGAAGTACCCTCTCCTGAGATAGTCTACACCCAGGATGCATGGGGCATCTGGGCCAGTCACAATGGGGTGCTTATGCCAGTCCTTCCCAGTCAGGCTCACTTTAGCTTCCAATAGAGTCAGCTGTTGGGATCCCCCAGTCACTCCAGAGATACAGATGGATTCAACCCCACTGTAGCTCAATGGCATCAGGGTGCACTGTGCGCCAGTATCCACCAAACCTTATATTCTTGTGGGTCTGATGTGCCAGGCCATCGGATCCACACTGTCCAGTAAATTCGATTATCCCTTTCCTCCACCTGGCTGGAGGCAGGGCCCCTCTAATCCTCCTTAGCATCACCACTTCTTGCAAGAATGACTTACTGGTCCCCTCAAGAGGGTCAGACATAACTTTGTCTATTCTATTCTGTCTGGGGGATTTCTGACTGGACACTGGAGCTGCGCTTTTCTTGGAGGACTCCCCTTTTGTCATGGTCTTCCCTTTCAGCTGCTCTACTCGTGCAGCCAGGGCGGCAGTGGGCTGTCCATCCCACCTCCTCATGTTTTCTCCATGGTCGCGGAGGAAAAATCACAGGGTGCCCCATGGTGTGTACCTTCTGCTGCCTTTCTCTTGTGTGGGGACACATTCACTTCTAATGGCTGAGACATCGTCCCGTGCAGGTGGAATGTAGGACACGTCCTCTTCCACTGTCTGGACCCTCTGAGACAGTTCCTCCACAGCTGAAACCCAGGAATGTTGAGATGGAGATTTCCCTAATATTGCTGGAGCTTGCCAACCACTCCATCCACTGTTTGAGTGTGAATATCTTGTCACCAGGACGCTACTGCCAGCGCTTTGGAGTGAGTTTCTTGTGCACTTTTCAGGAACTTTCGCAACATCAAGTGTGTACAAGGGGCCTTATCTGGGTCCATGGGTGACTACTCATCATTCAGATCACCATAAATCATATCAAACACAGCCAGTTTCCTGAGATTCTGAATGCCTTCCTCAAAGTTGGTTCATTTGCTTAGCTGACATAGGATATCATGCTTGTAGGGGTATACCTCTTCCTTACACTGAGCAGGAGTCGCTTCCAAAGGCTGAGGGTTTGAGTCTGTTTCCCTATTGCCCTGTTAATGCCAGCATCCTTGGCCAAAGATTCCAACTGCTTGGCCTCTCTCCCTTCCATTTCAAAAACACTAGCTCTGTTGTCCCAGCATCAGAGCAGCCAGGTGCAAATCTGCTTGCTTGGGAGGCGGCCGAAACCTTTCAGCATATCTCGCAACTCAGTTGGGGATAGAGATTAGACGATCACCACTGGCCCTTCCTCCTGTTCCTGTGCAGGGCCTGGCTCATCCCCATACCCCACTTTGCAAGCTGGCTTTCTGGTATATTTTGTTTTCTGTATCAAGGCAACTGATACTGGCATTGGATGGCTCTCTGGCTCAGCTGCTGTGCTGGTGGAGGCGACATACTGGAACTGGCTGTCTCTCTGGCTCAGTTGCTGTACCAGTAAGTTCACTTTCAGATCCTGCAGCCCCTTCTCCCCCTTGAAGGCAGTGAGTAGTGTTAAAAAGGACACGGTAGGTATGGGCAAGTCTCCAGCACATTACTGTGAGTTGTTTCTCCTGGATTTTGTCAGATTGGCGACACACCTTTTTTTTTTAAGCACTCTGCCACTTTATCAGGGCTCTGCATTTGTTCTGGGGTGAAATTCCAAAGCATTGGAGGTGACCACTGACCCAGGCATTTGCCCATATACCTTGCCACTCATAAGTATCTGACCTTGGGGCAGGTTTCCAGGTGGTGCTATTGTTGGAGAAATACCACATGGGCAAAACCAAAATCAGGCAGACATTCAGAAGGCATTGTGCCACAATCACACTGGGCTGCAGGCTCCAAGGATAGTTGAAACTCTCAAAAACCGAGGATCTATTCCCCTGGCTCACCCATAGAGAGGGTGAGACTCCTAACAAAGCCCAGGCAGCAAACAGGTACTGGCCCACCACCACAAACAGTGATATGAGCACATCATAAGCAGTCAGGTGCCAGTATAGCAAAACAAACTCCTTTACACATTTTCCACTGCCAAGAAACACTAGCACTGGGAACATACAGTGGATATAAGGATTAATCCAGCCCCATCACACAAGCAAGTGGGCCAGCACTACAAATATTTCTTATCAAACAATACAAACAGAAAAAAAAATTGCAACTAACAGATTGCTCTAACGCAATTTTTTGATTCTTATTGCAACCTCTTGAGCCCCATGTTGGGCGCCAAAAAGGCTGTGGTGGTTTAGGCCCTGCTGGGACCAGAGACCACATTGCCGTTGTTCATCCCGCGCCCTCGGACCAGTCGAGGCAAGGAGTAAAATATAAACCCCGAGGTTGAAATAAGGAAAGTTTTAATACAACAGTGTAACAAGTAATCAACTGAACAACAACAATAGCAATAACAACCACAATAAACAGTAATAACAGTAAACTAGTAAACTAGACAAAAGATATACAGAGATATACCGCAAGGGACACAGCCAGCCCGCCTTGTGTGCTTCCCCGGACAAAAGCCACACAGGAAACTGTTCCTGCGCCTGGACCTGACATCAGCATGGTATGAATAACCTGGTTAGAGCCCTCTCCCCATTGCTGGGGAAACAGCCCTATCCCAGTTAAACCAGGGCAATTTCCAATACAGAAAATGCTGTAATGCCAGATTAAGAAACAAATTCAATCTGGAGCAGACACCTGGCACAGAAAATGTCAGTCCAGATGGTTAAAAGATTTGGCTAGTCCTGAAAAAGAGGTAAGGAAAGCTACATTTTGGCTACACACAAACCTGGCTACCTTGCTGGAAAAAAAATAACACTATTACTTAAATTTGGCACAGTTACAAGCAAATGAAAAAGTAAACATGAGGTAAATTAACATGCTTAATTCCATAATAGTACCCTCCCTATGTGTAACATTTGAAAATATTACCCTGTCATACTTATCGTAAGATCCAGAAATAAGGGTCTGAGTTTCAAATGGATGAAATTGCAGTGTCTGGACCTAGATAACAGAATATTTTATTTAAAAAAAAAAGTATTTAGATATAACACCCATATAGAGGAATTTTCTTTGAACAAAGAGAGCACAATTCCCCTCCCCAAAACATGCTCCTATTAAGCTTGTTGATATTCAGATTTCTGATAAAACAGTGCAAGAGGTGCACATTATTTTTATTTCAAACACCCCCACCCAGTGGAAACAAGATATTTCACAATATAATTTAACTGAACAAAACCACATGCCCCCTTTCTGCCCCAGATATTAAAAAAAAAGCTAAAGGAGGTAAAAGAACAGCTGCTTCCAGTTTGGGGAAAAATGCAGATGTTAGCAAAAAAGTGAAAATCTCGAGTCTGCCAAGGGCAGTGACTTTGTTAACAGCAAAATAAGGTTACAGTTATTAATAACTAACTTCCACATTGTAATTACCATGAGATTAATTAATTTCTCAAGTACCCATCACTATGGTATTTTAGCATCATTTATTTTAAACCTTCTTTACCTACACCAAATAGTAACCAATACTCGTTGCTTCCTCAGAGAGAGTTACAGTTTGATCTATGCTCAGAGATCTATTTTTTCTGACTTATACAGGCACTATTAGATTCCCAACTATCAGGGCTTTTAAAACCGCTGTAAATCTTTACAAACTTTCTAAAGGATAAGGTTTTTAAAAGCAAATACAGTGTTGTTGACAAAAACAACTAATTCAGAAATTTAAACAATTCTGCACAGGTGTTATAAAACTACAGAACTGTTGCTCTTAGTGTTCACTACTAAGCAGCTAATGAAAAAAATGCAGGTTTTTTTTTTTCTGTATCTTACAGTGGAAGAAACATAGCAAGTATTACATACCTTGTCTGTATGAAGCATGAGGCTGGCTGCCAGCTTACCCACAGACATATCCCACAAAATCACAGTGTTGTCAGCAGACGCACTTGCTAAAACATTCCTGACAACGGATCAGAAATTAAGTTTTAAAAATCTTGATACAAACAAATAACGGTCAAAAATCCAAAATACGTACAGAACCTGATCCTGAGATTAAGTACACTCTGGTCTATACCCTATATATCTCAAGCTTGAGGGAACTCCCTGAAGGCAGTTCTAAATTACAAGTAAAGACTACAAACAGGCTATATATTAGTACAACACTTACAATAGTGACAGTTTGGCTTGTGTTTCCACACACACCCCACTTAAAATACAATTTACTGCAAGATTTTTTTGACAAAACAAAGCAAGAAAGCACTTCCTTTCCTTTGACACTAAGATAGTACTTTTAAACATTACCTATGCAACTTAGTTTTATTTGCATATGCATACAGCCAAGAGCCAAACTGGTTTTTAAAATATTTTGTTCTCTAGTATCTGAGTGTTTATATAACTACCGAAGACGCAACACTGTACACCCTTCACAGAACGCTGAAAGGAACCTAACATTTTAGTTGGTTTACACAGCCCCCATTTCAACTGAAATTTTACTAACTGTGTTAAGAGCAATAAGCACATAGTTTAGAAGTTTGTTCAGAAAAAACTCAAACATTCCCAAAGGCCTGTCAAATACACAGTACAATTGCTACCATGGCTCTTCAAAACAGATCTATTACCTCAACATGTTTCTGATTGAAAGTGCTCCCCCCTTACCTTTTTTTCTTTTTATATTAACCAAGTGTTTCTGACTGAAGGAGCTAACATTCTCCCAGAAACACTGTTCTCCCAAACAATGTTACAAGGGAAAGAACATGCATTTTACAGTAACACCGTTATGACCTACAGGTAGAAAGTAATTTATAGACAGCTGTCACTGCATGTCTTGCTTAAAAAAACCCAACCAAATGACCACAAAACATTTCAATGTAAGTTGCTCTAAGGAGTTAATTGTTTTGTCCATAATCTTCCCACTTCAAGGACGTTTTTATTTCCTGAAAGATCTAAGAGTATCAATGAGCTTTTAACTTAGCACATTACAGAATTATGTTCCAGACACTTAACTACTGTAGCTCTAGTTTTTGTGACTTGTCTCTGTATTCTCACCAGACAACCACTTTTGTAGGATTAACAGAATGATCACTACTATACTCTGTGCATGTGTATAATTTAAGAACAATAGACAGTGCACTGTAAATTAAGAGTGCAATTTATGCAGATTTACTGCATGTCTGTGTGGGTGTTTCCTTCTTCAGTATCCAGGCAACAAAGCATTAGAAGTGAAGGCTTACACCTCCTCATCAGGAGTATGTGGAGTTTACCATGTTCTTCTTCAGAGACATTTATTACAGCAGGAAAAAAAGAAAAAGAAAAAAAAAAAAATCAGCCTGTGTCTGACTGGAATGTTTTCAAGGCTGGTGCTGAGTATCCTCTGCCAGCTGAACAGTTAACCACCTAAGCGATAAAAAACAGCAGCATCTTTATTTCAGTCATCACATTGCCCTTGACTTCTCCACCAGGGTGGGCCAGTTTTGTGTTGCTTCAACAGCAGCACTTTGCTGCTTAGTTTGTTTAGGGAATTCTCTCTGCCTAGTGTAACCCAGAGATCAGAAGCAGTTCTATAACTGTGCTGTTAGGGCTTTTACACTCTTTTCTGTTCACAGCTCTGGGGCTAAATTCAGAGGAGAAACAAACAGCATAGCAAGGACTTCCTTCTATAAATCCACTTCTGTCTGTTGAAATAGGGTTTTAAATCATTGGCAGATCAGGGCAACCCTTCTGCTTCTCGAATTTCTGCATGTGACCTAAATTAGTTGATTTACCAAACCTTAGCCCTGCCCTCATCTGGACAACCTGTAAATAAAAAGTGATCTGCAGCAATATACAGTTTTTTTTAAAAATAAAACAAGACTTCCAGTTTAAAAAAAACCCCACAACAACTAACAGTCTGTGTATTTTTGAGTATAGATTCATTTCAGCACTGTTTTTAAGTCTGATGTTACACTACGTAAGATTTTGGATTTGTGTGAAAAATGTATGCCCAATTAAGTATGCAATTTTATAACCATCCATTGTTATTCAAGTGTCCTTTTACCTGCTTTGTTTATTCCATGAAAGATCAAGCACAGCATCAGTATGTCCTTTCACTGTCCCTTCTGAAGATAAACTCTGTTTATACAGATACAACAGACTTTTGAAAATTACAGCTTCAGTGGAAATCAAGTATTATAACACATTAGTATGAATACCTTAATACCTTCAAAAATGACTTCATATTTGAAATTATTCTCATTTGCTGCAACCAGGCTTTTGATAGAACTGTCTCTGAAGTACCTGCAACTTGCCTCCTACCCCTGGTCTCAGATTGCTCCATTCACAGCTGGTGGGGGCTGACAAAACTATCCCTTCAGGCTAGGAGAAGAAATTTCATTGTCTCCAGCTAATGTGCAGCTTATTTCTAAACACTCCTGGCAGTTCCCTCTCACTCCTCCCAATTAACCGAGCTTTAGGTCCTTGTAACCGCTAGCTCCTAAAAATTCTAATTTAAAATGGTTAAGCTTCAAAGTTTACTGGGATAGCAATTGCAAACCACCCATAAGCCACCTCATTCCTCTTCTGTTCTTAATTCCAGGTTTTAATTATGCATACAGAGAACAATTAGCATTTCAAATTGAGGTTACATTTATGAATGGTATCTTCAATAGCAATTCAGATAACTCAGTGATTTTCAGAAGCAAGATTCACAGAAAAAAATCCCCCTTCTAAGGATATTTTTTCTGCTGTTAACTGGAAGGTCTGAGAGCTCAAGAAGTAAACCCTCTTCACAAGTACACAGAGTGGTTCTTTAGCTGACTAAAACTGCAGTACTCCTTCAGTTGGTAAGCCAAGATTAGCTAAATACCCAGTCTTCACCTTCCCTATTTACTCTAAGAAGCCTTTAAGCACTTCCTGAAGCACACAAAATCTAGAAAATTTAAGTGATGTTACCTGCCATACTTGGTTTGGACAAATCATAACACATTCGGGCATACAATGAGGGTCAAATTCATCTCACAGAATTTAGCATCCAGTCTAAACCTCAGTCTTCCTCTTTGGTAGTTAAGGTTTTCTCTGCAGTCCACTAAAAGAAACTCTGCTATGCTCTGGGTGTGTCTCTACACATTCACCTTAGTTAACCTCAATGACTAGCTTAAAACATGCTTAAATTTTAGATAGAGAAAGCTAAAAGAGGTGAATCATGAGTGAACGTATTTATTAGTGTTAATCTTGTCCTTTATTGCTCAATGCAATTTCAACTCTGAGTCACAGGAAAATACCAATTTTAACATATTGCAGATATCCATGGCATTATGTAACATGTCTAAACACCACCTTTCAACATGACAGATGAAATTAAACCAGAATATCTATGATTGTTTCATTGTAAGAAAAAACAGTAATAACAACATTATCCTTGCTCTAAGTTTCCTCCATCCAATCAGATAAACCATCTTGCAATACTTACTGTCTTTCCTTTCTTTTTCTTCTTTTTCTCTTTCTTGCCTCCAAGAGAAAAGACTGGTTCTAAGGAATCTACTATATCAAGGTCCCAAATGTCAATAACTGGGGTCATGTTACCCACTGCAACATAATTTCCTACAAGCAGAAATGCAAATGCAACTACAAATTAGAGTTACAAAACAGCGTATTTGGCAATCCAGCTATTGTTTATGTGCCAGAATCTTCTATTTGAACATACTTGATGCTTATAACTGACAAGGAGCCATAAAAAAAAAACCAACAAAATTCAACTGACAGCAGATGTTGCCAGAAAAAAAATGACTGGCTCTGCAATATGCTTCACCTTCAGTACAAGTAACTGTTCAAAGAAGCTGTATAAGAAACAAAACATGGAACTTTAAGGGAAAAAACCCCTCACATTTCCTGTGCTATGGGAAGAAAAAAAAAAGTAAAAGGTTATTAAATAAATAAATATATATGAATTTTACTGTGTTTTACAGTTAATCAACTGCATTGCCCATAATGACCTTGAACAAAAGCAAACTTTCATTTGCAAATAGAAAATAAAGCAGATCAGAGAAGAGCTTGCTCCAGTCTGCTGTCTGATAATAACTTTATTATTTGTAACAAAACCAGTTTTTTAGTCCAACCACTTGTTATAGCAGCATCACTAAGATGACTGTATCACCAAACTAAAAAACCCCACTGATACTCAGTTTTTCTATCTTAATACCTTGATTTTATTTCTGTTTGTACCACTGGAGGAAATTATTTAGTGCCAACATAACATTTATATAATTTTCAAGTAAAAATTATTTAACTGGACATTTACAATATCCTTTGTAATTTACCTAGTGATTCATCAGGACTAGGATCAAAGTTCAACCACTCCAGACTTAGAGGGTAAGCAGGCAAGGTAATATCATGATGTACATAAAATGAATTCTCTTCATGATTATAAACTGAAAAAGAATTAAAGATATACAAGATATCAGTGAAGAGGAAAAGCAAGCAACTATAAACAGTTCACTTCTGCAAAAGGCAGATGTGGCAAACACTAAATTGTCAAGGAGATCTAGAATGTAAATCTGCAGTGTGTTCAGAGTTTTAGTGTAAAGGCCAGAGACTCCAGGTGCTAACGTTATGCCTCATGGAATTACACAAAACAGATATTTTCCTGTGTACTTTAGATAAAGAGGCGACAAGTTCAGCAAAGCTTAAACACTTTATTCCTAGCATACTATGACACTTTGTTTGTAAGATCACTTCAAAATAGATGTTCCATATCTATCACTTTCAATACCAGGATACATTAATGAAGGTTTAGACATTCATTTTACAGAATCAGCTATAAAGAAAAAAAAAATCCAGATAAAATCAAAGGAGGAATGAAGATAAACAGTTTTCAAATTAGAGGAATCTGAAGAAGTCAGATGAAGTTACCTTTAGCAGGCTGTAACTGATGTACATGATGTGCATGAAGAGGTTTGGTGAAGCAACCAGATACTAGACACAGCATTCCCTTTAGCCAGGTATTTTTTTCCTTATAATAAAAGAATTTACTAACTGGATAGCAGAAAAAACCCATTAATTATTTTAATAAAATGGTGTCATCGCACACACAAAATCACTGTGCTGTTTTTAAGTGCACATGACAGAAGTTCAGATACTAACTAAAGTCTTTGGTTAAGTAAGTAGTCTTAGTAGTTGACTAAGACAGGGCTATCCAATGCTATAAACTGCAGAGGCCTGTGCTATTGTTTTATAAGTTTATATTGGGAAAATAACACAGCTAATAAAATTTGTTAACACCTCCAGATACAGAAAATGCCAGATGCTGCTATTTGAAGAGATGCTTTCAGACACTGTGGTCCTACTGTTTTCTTAAACCAGAATACTTTGCTTGCAGAAACATGTACCATAGCAGAATAGCCAGAAACATTCCCCCAGAGAACCACTGTAAGAAAAGATGGTAACTTCAGCACCCTCAGTAGTACTCCTTGATGCAACAGAAAAATCTTTTGCACAGTAAAACTAAACCCATTCCTAGAACAAGGGGTATTCAGACCTTATTAAGGATCACCTCTTCTAAAACGAAGATGATAAAGGTGCTGATTCTTCTACTGCTAGCAGAGGAAAGCCCATTTAAAGCAGCAAGGAGAAAGCTGAAGAAAAAAACCCCTAACAAAACCAAACAAACAACTAGAGGAAGCCTGCATGATATGGAAAGTAAAACTGTTTAGAAGATTGATTGTATGTTCAAAGAACAAAAATTCCACAGTATTTTCTGAGTGTTACTAGAAATGAAATAAGGAAAGGAAATGCCATACAGCCTGAAAATGGCACACTATCCTCTAAACAACAATAATGCCACATGAAATACTGTAGCTTGGGAAAGCATCTAAAGCACTGTGGCATAGGAAAGAGGACAAAACACACAGGGCAGATGGGGAGGAAAAAAAACCTTCTAAACCCCACACCCTTTCTTACACAGACAATTGGAACAGGCTAGACAAGACATATTCCCTAGGTTCACTGTAAGGAACATATCCTACGTTACTTACCATGGACCTCCAAACTACAGTAGTCTTTATCAGCTCTACCACAAAGCACAAGATTGTCACTGGGCTTAATTAAAAAGTCCTCCTGTTCATATTGATCCTGAACAGCAAAAAGGAGAGGACAACAGATGTTAAGCTAACCACATAAACACACAAAACTATACATGTTCAAGAGGTTGAATCAGGAGTGATTTTTATCCATAGCTGAAAACACTCAAAACCCAACACCCTGATACTCACCTGCCTAAAACCATTTTACGATGGTAAACAGAGAAAGGCAGGAACTAGACTTGATCATGGGAAGACTGAATAGTTATTATATACACTGAAGGACTGTGTATGAGGACTTAGGTGGATTGAGATATTACCAACTATGAAACCATATTTTGAGGCTACCATGATGTAGCCCATTACTGAAAAGAAAACTGCCATCAGAGCCCACATACATAGCTTATTTTCCTTGTGCTCTCATGCCTTGAGCATTTATATACTGTAACAATATTTTACACAATCAGCATACTGTAACTGCTCCTCATATCCAGGAAGCAATCCCCAAAGCATTAAAACATTGTCAACTTTCTCGAAAATACTTCCATAAAAGTACTGTCTACATCTATACTGAGCATTCAGCTGTACCAGAACAGATGTAACCTCTCATCTAATTTTCATTGTTACTGAGGAATGGAAGGCATTCAGGGAAGAGAACTAAGAACTGTATATAAAAGTCAATAGTCTTACACAGAGTACCATCCTTCAAATATACAACACATATAAAATTTTTGGACTTCTTGTTGCAAACTTTTAATTTCCTTTTTATTTACTTTAGGCATCTTTTCACTGTTTGAATTCTATCAAGTACCAATTCCTCAAATTAATCAACTTAATGTTGATTAATGCAGTAAATACCAAAAGGCAATATAAAATGCATGCTGAAGAACTAAAAAGTGCTCTCTTTCATGAGTCGAGCGTAGGAAGAAAGGTCTGAGAAAAAGGTGTTCACTTTTTCAGTCTGGGAGGAAGCCAGCTTTCCTGACACAGGCTAAATGTAGCTTATGTTCTCTCTGAATCCTTGTGCAAATACCTCTTTGACTATAAAAATCACTTTTAAAGCATTGCTCTCCTCTACTGGTACACAGGAGCATGAAAAATTATCAGTCTGTCGAACACAGAGAAAACATACAGCGCCCCCACGTGCACATAGCAAGTGAACTGCTTTTAAAGATAAGACATGTGCCTTCCTCCTTGAGCTTTGTTACAGTATGTGAAGTCACTGCAACAACCCCTTGTCTGAGACCACCCGTTTGACAAAGTCCCCTGACACACGAAGTAGACATTGTGGCAGAAGTCTACAGGTGCTCTTTTCTTTCAATCTCACTAGCTTTGTAAAGAATCTAAAATAGTATAGAAAGAACACCGAAAAATCTCAGAATCTTTATGCTTAGAAGAGATCACAAAAATTCACTTACTCCATTACCCTGCCTCCGTCTCTCCTGGTTGCTCTCTAGATTAGATTGCCTCTTCTCATGCAACTTCACCTTGTAAGGGCTTTCTGTAATCTCTCCATGTAAATTAAGTCAATCACAAATTGCAATCTGCCCTTCTGAACTGAACTGTGGGATATTCTCTGGGATCTCTCCATAGCTTCTCTGAAGAGGCACCTAAGCCTCTAGGCAGCTAAGCCTCTAGCTAAGGCAATACTGATGTTAAGCAGAGCAGAAGTATTACCTCATGTCTTGCATGCTGCATTCCTGTTCACCAGAAAAAGACAAAGAGGCTGCATAACACGACAGCACTGCTGACACAGCTTATGTTAGGCTACAACCAGAGACTTCTTCACTCCCTACAGAGCTCCTAGAAAGCCAGCTGCTGCAAAGATGTTCCTTGTCTGATACTTGGTAGAAACTATTACAGGCAGAAGCAGTCAACTACACAGTATGTTGTGCATATATGCTTAACAGGGACATATTTCTTCACGCCATACCCCTAATTGGACATGTAGCTTGAGCTCACCTCAGCTTGGTTTCTTTCACAAACTGGTGGAAGATATAAGTCTTAAAATTTGGAAAGTTTTCTAATTTGGGTCATTAGTGGCCTGAGATTTATTATTCAAGCATTTTCTGTGTCCTACTAGATAGGTGAAAGCCACTCCACAGACACATTGTTTAAATAATGATCCAGTTTGCCTTAATATCAGATTTAAATGAAAAAGCACACATAGAGGGACTGCAAAAAGTTACCTTAAAAGAGTTCCGTGTCATCAAAAATCTGGCACACCTTTGGAAAGGGACTACAAGCACTTTCAGACCCTAAAGCAGTGTGGAAAACTTAACTGATTTTTAAGTTTATGCTGTTTAAAATATTTAGTATTTTTATAGTACTTACAGTGGTTTTTAGAGTGATGTAAGGATCATGATCATTACTTCCATATACTGCCAGAGAAGCCAAAGAGTCCCCAAGTTTTATATCACCTATATGGGAATTTCAGAGCATTTTTTATAGATGTCAATGACAGGTGAAGTTAGAGACTCCTGTACCTATACCTATATTACAAAATATCAGGAGTGGACTAAACGAACTTCCAAGTTCCAAACATAAGAATCTCAGTAAGCTAAATTGCTTAGTGCTTTCAGGGACTTCTACTGCTCTGCTCCAGCACTACAGCAGGGGGACTGACAATCTTTCCAATGTGTTCTCAGTTCTAATATCAGGGAGGGGGAGACTGAATTGTTTCTCTGTAAATGACTTCCAAAACTGGCACAAGCAAATAATTAAAAATGTGAATTTTCAGTATTTGAAACATAGCACTGGGTAGTTTTAGGATACTAATGTCTTAAATACAACAATAAGTGAAAAGGTTCTTCCCTTACACTGCATATCTGACATTTAAATTTTTCTTACCTGTGTATTCCTTTTCATCATAATTTTCCAAATCATATTCAGCCAGTTCATCATCAGACAGCTCTTCATTTGTATGAGAAGACCTAGCTCTACCAGGAATGGCTACATTCATGCCATATGTCATCTGACCTTCATTGCTACCATTAGCATCATCCCTGTTTAAAGATACACATCCCTGAGAAAATATGACATTTAGAACGCTTCTAGTAATTGCTTAGGGGGCTGCTAACAAGATTTCAGCATATAATCCTGTCTGTTCCCATGGATTTCAAGTCTTTAGTCCAATAATTCAGAAATCCATTCACTCTTTTCCTATCTCTTCCCAAAATAGGAAGCACCATTATTCTCAGAATTCTAGAAAGGTTGTCCTTGAAAGTTTTCATGACAAAATGGGGCAGGAATTTAGCTCAACAGCGCTAAACTGTGTGTCTAAATCCCTTTCTCTTAACTTTTTTTTTTTTCCTCGTGTGTGTGGATATAATACTCTCAACCTCACTTCTATGTGTTCACATGTGTCCAATTCATTCATTTCCCCCCCCCCCC